CAATGCTGCAGTTAATATAACAACACGCAGTAAATTTTAATCCAAATCGACCAACCAGTTGTTGATTGATTAGATGAAAAACCTGCATCTCAGGCACAGTTACCTTTGAATTCAGTCAGCCTGCGATGTAATGTTCTGCTTTGTGTCACTTTGTGTGCAGGGCCTCAGGTGTGGCTAAACACACAGCAGTGATTTAGCACTTCTCTGGCAGCCAGGTGTTCATTTCACTAACAATAGAGCTGCGACGTCATTGTGCTATGGGCCAGCTCCATCCTCTCATCACAAATTAGAAAGCGGGGCCCAGTCACTGCCTCGCTTCCGAGTCTGACTTGTAAATGGTCTTTTTATTTAAGGCATCCTCTTTGTCTCGCTAATCAAAGATGCCTCTTGTTTGAAATGCGGGTGAATGAAATGGAGGATGGGATGATGGATAGTAGAAATGGATGGGAGAGAGGAAAGGTTAAGGTATACGGTGAAAGGGTTCCTGTTTAATTCATGGATTCAGTTTTGATTAGGAGTTTTGAACAGCTGGCGTTTTTCATATGTTACCTTCTTTTTTATTCAGCATCAGCCCTCCGTGACAAACCTTATTGTGTGATAACGCAGACAACAAATACAATGCAAAGGCTTGAGTTCAGTGATTTATTTGGGAAAACACACTCTAGATAAGGGAAACATCCCATATCGGCTACAACATTTGACTAAAGCCATTGGCAAAATAAACACGTACCTGTGTTCTGCACGCAGTAGGTGAGCAGAGGTATGGCAATGCTTGATCCATGTTCATGAAATGATGGTGATGATACTGTGGCTGACAGCAACAATCCTCCATATGGTTTATTGTTGATTCTACATCTACTTACAGGTCTACTGCATCTGTTGCTGCATTCAGAGTTTGTACCAGATTTAAAGAAGAATCAAATAAACAAAAGGATCTTGGTGGCTGGGAGAAAAAAGACACAGCAGATTAGAAAAGGCACAATAGGTTTGAGGAATATTTCTCTAAATAAATCTAAATATCTCTAAATATCACACATGTGTGGAATGACAAGACGGCGAAGAGAGACATATGCACAATCATATGCATTACATTAATGCACTCCCGTCTTCTGTACAGTCTTCTTATCTTTTCTTATCTTTCTTATCT